ATTCATTATGATTTTTAAATAACTAGGTCATTTGCCAATTTGGTGTATTTGTCACGTAATTCGATTCTTAATATATTCGGTATAAAGTATTAAAACGATGAATCTTTTAAAATTATTTAATTTAATTGGTTAATTAGACGAACTTCTTCCTATAAAGATAAAGGCTTGTAATATATAACTTTATTTTATCCATTTTAATTAAATACAAAAACATGATTATATCAAACAATTACAAAAAAAACAATGATCTATAGACATAAAATTTTATATAACATTAATAAAGAAACTATCACTACGTATCAAGATGTAATTTTACCCGTCAGATTACTATGATCGGGCTGCCTAATAACTATAGTATCGAGCTAAAAAAACTAAATTTTGGATAGTAAAAAGCTATTAGCTAACGAGCTCGCTAAATTAATAATTTTATAAAATCAAACAAGTTGTTAAATTCTTGAGTTTCATTTCTATTGCCGCGGTACTTAAAACTGGAGTATTTGCCGATTCTTCCTGAATGATCTGTCTTATTGATTGGTTTAATTGGTTCCCTATTTGTTTGTCCATTTCTGAAATGATTTCTTTTTTCATTCTATTGGCAGCCTTTTCAAACTTATTCATATCTCCCCATTTTTTAGCATTCATTAAATCATTGATTCTAACACATACATTATCCCAATTTTCCATTTTGTAATTTCCTTGACAAGACTCTAAATATGACATTATTATTCTTCGAGACTTCTCTCGAACTTGTTTTCTTTTACTCTCTGGAGGATTATTAATATATATGATATTATGTCGATTTACTATGCCAGCAAGTTTTTTATTCGCATTTCTTAAGTCATTTTTGTCTTTTTCACATGCTTCCATGTCTTCAAAATTTTCAAACCCGGTTCTAATAATAGTAATATGTTGATCAACGTTCTTAAAAATCCTTTGGATATAGTCAAAAGGTTCTATTGCTTCATTAGTAAATCTTGATTTTATTACCACAAAGATTTGCTTTATCTGCTTCGCAATTATCAAACCAATAATAATGAAAATTATATAATATGCATCATTTGTACGTACGTATGTATATACGTACGCATAATCTCTTTAAATCTGAATCTTAAAACGATTCTTAAATTTAAAGCAATCTCGAATATAAATCCACATTCTGAAC